TAATCAATAAAATAATTTGACATGGCAAGATCAGGCATGACCAAGGGAATATGAAAAATATAGAGTTTTTTTTTTTTTTTTTTTTCATGCAAAACTCTTCAATCTTGGGAAAACAACGGACATTATCCTGGCCAATGCCAATGATTTCAAATTACGGAGTGCCTATGGTTTAAAACCATTTACCTCCTCTCTACTTTTTGTTAAATCTTCAAAAGCAACTTTGTACAATTAGGCTACTGGGAATTATCGTAAAAATATGAGAAAGAATCACCAACGTGTTTTCTTAAAGAAAAAGGGTGAATTTCTTAAGGAAAAAGAGTGAGCAACTCTATTTCTTTCAAGTTCCAGTTTTTCGAAACTTGATTTAAAAGTCTCTTAATCCCTTAAACATTTTAACTGAACTTAGGTTTAGGAACGGGAAAGATGGACACCACACCATTTGGTTAATTGGTTTAGCGCCGTCTCTTCAATTGTTCAAAGTCCATAGTTCTATATTCAAAATCCAAGTCTATATTCAAAAACTACAGTTCAAGTCTATATTCAAAATCCACAGTTCAAAGCCCATAATCTACGGATATGGTTCAAAATCTATAGGTCAAAGTCTGCGTGTAAAGTAATAAGTTTACGTAATTCATATAGTTCAAATATACAGATTTTGCAAATATAGTTCAAATAGTTCATGTGTAAATATATAGTTCGTGCTAATTCAGAAGTCAAGCACAAAATCAGCGTTATATTTACAAAATTTTCAAGGACTAGTTTCGATGGTTTTTACCGAACCACCATCTCAGCTGCAAAACCGCAAATGAACGAGATAGGAAATAATATTAGATACGATAAGAAAACTGCCAAAAACAAGTGGCGCCATCTTTAAGTGAAACCAGAACTAAAACATAATTTCTTTAAAGGCGAAGGCCAAGTTGGATTGGAATTAGGATCGTTAACTAGAACAGAAGATTTTTATGAATGAAGTGCCTCTAGAAAATCCAGTTCTCCTGGAAGATGTTTTTTGAATAATTTTGTCAAGCAAAAAATTAAAGTGGATTTTCGAATAAAAGTGTTGTTTATTCTCCCTCAATAAAATTCCGAGTTCCATACTCAAGGACCCCATTCCGGATATGAATTCCTGGGGTATTTATAGGATTCCTTGCCAGTGTGGTTTAATTTACATTGGCCAAACTAAGAGAGCCTTAAAATTTCGCATTAACATGAGGCATATGTTAGAAAAAAAGGAAACACAGAAGTCTTCTGTTGCTCAACATTGTTGGTCCGAAAATCACACTTTCAATTTTTCTGCTGCCAAAATTATTCAAAAAACATCTTCCATTGGAGAACTGGATTTTCTAGAGGCATTTCACATTCATAAAAATCTTTCTGTTCTAGTTAAGATCCTAATTCCAATCCAACTTTGCCTTCGGCCTTTAAAGAAATTATGTATTAGTTCTGTTTTCACCAACAGATGGCACCACTTGCTTATTCTTGTCCAGGCTTTCTTATCTAATCAGGCCCACCAGCGGCCGAGCGGTAAAGTCGCTGAACACTGGTAGTTCGGTCCGAGGTTCGAATCCCGCGAACGGGCTGGCTGCATGGGGGTGTTCGTGGTTTTCCCATGTGTAACGTGTATACGAGCCAGTTTCCCTTAGAAAGTCCTCCACGAAGGCATCCCTCTCCTTAGGCAGATAGCCCTCGAGGCTTTGTCGTAATTAAATAACCTACTAACCTAACCGTCTATTAATCATTATTTCCTATCTTGTTCGTTGGTTTTCAGCTGAGGTGGTGGTTCGGTAACATCGCATTAGTCCTGTTGAAAATTTTATAATAACGCGATTTTTGTTGTTTGACTTCTGAATTAGTATTTATTCGGCGTGTTATTGTGTCTTAAATATAGCTTGTATTTCAAAACGTCCATGTATATAGTTCAAATAGTGCATATACGTAGTTTAGGTAGTTCTAATAAAGAGTTCAGATATATAAAAAAAATTAAGTTCCTAAAGTATAAATAGTTTTAAAGTTTAAATAAACTGTAGTTTATCAAACTGTTGAATGTTTATCTGTAAAATAAAGTTCGGGTAGTTCAAAGATAATGACTCTTAGTCAGTAGATCAAAGTATGTGATATGATATGTTAATAGTTCATAATTGTAAACTCGTAAAAGGTTCCTAACAAAATAAAATAGTTCGTAATTGGTGGTAGATAAGTTCGTAATTGGTGATAGATAGTCTTGACATCCAATGGAAACGTTTACTTTAAAAAAAAAAAAAAAAAATTGATGTGGACTTCACATGACTTCCTTGTATGGCCTATTAAATTCTTAACATTTTCGCTCCACTTTATTTAAACTTATTTACACTAATTTCACTAGAGATATATATTTCTTATTCAGTCAGTTCAGTTCTCATTTCGTGGCTGGCAAAAATACATAAAAACTGAAGTCATCTTCATTAAAAATTGTAAAATACAGGAAAACTTAAAGCACCAAATACAGTTAAAAAAAAAAGTTAAAGAAAAGCAATTTTTACAATTAAATTTAGAGGTTCTACGGGAAACATGCCATAGACTGGAATATATTGAATAGATTATAATCTAGTAATAGATTTTCTAGTAATAGTTGTGTTTTACTTTTTATAAAATTTTCAAAACTAAATCTCAAACCATGTTGAAAGTTTCGGTTATATATCCATGCTTAATTCTTAAAGTGATCCTGTCCTTTTCTTCACTAGTTTTGATTTAGATATATTCCAGAAAAAATTTTAAAATTCCAGCTATTATTCAAATGTATTCTACCAAATTGTAATAAGATAATTATTCTCAGCATTCAAAAGTTTTAATTAGACACTTCTTTTATTAAATTTCATTAGAGTTTTTTTTTAATAATTACAGAAGCGTTCTTAAAAACAGCATTCTGAAATTTGGTTTACATTTAATTAAAAATGCATTGATCTTTGGCTTTAATTAAAAATGGCATTAATTAAAAATGATGATGATGGCTTTAATTAAAAATGAAGGTGATGGCTTTAATTAAAAATGCATTGATCAGTACATTAAATTACAAGGTATTTTCTTCATCTTTCCGCATGCTTTGTTGTGAAATGAAAGCATACTCGACGCGTCCAGTGCTCTAGTCACGAGGAGGACATTGAACATTTTACACATCCCCTATTTTAAAAGATCCTAAGTAGATTAATTATTTTCTTATTCTTCTTTTCAGCTAGCACTAATTCTCCGATAGAGAAAAGAGAAAAGAAAAGAATCTGCTTTCAAACGAAATGTCAAATATTGCAAAATTTCATAGAAATACCACGGAAAAAATTTAGAATGAAGGAATAAAATCTACATTAATTAAAAAATTTTTTTTAAATAAGCTAATAAATAATTAAATAAATGCTTTAAATAATAATAATATAACAACAACAATTTTAATTATCACAATATTCTTGATCATGTGTGATTAAACATAAAATCGTTTGGTTGCTAACAATAACGGACTTTAAATTAAGCTTGACTGTAGAAGAGGTATCTAAGCAAGCTGAATGCAGTCATTCATACATAAGTCAATTCTATACAATCAGTTCCATAGTTCCTTAAATTTCTGTTAGCATTCCGAAGCACTTTTTTATGTGGCAATACCAAGATATCGTTTTTAATAGTCTGTGAGTAAGAATCTTTATCATAGCTTAAAGAATTATTTTTAGCCCAAAGTGGCAATTTGCCCAGAAAGGCTATTCATTTCTCTTCGCCATTTTGCATCGTCCACTACAAAACGGCATTTCACTTTTGAAATTGTTGCCACCAAATATTGTTGCTGAATTATATTTAAAGAAATTAAATAACGAAGAATCTGCATGAATGTATGCGTATGTTTCTCGCACTGTGAAAAAACAACTCTACCTAAAGGTATCAAATTTTGAATAACGTAGTCCTCCACTCGAATATGGACATCCGGAAGGCCACACTTCGAAATTGGAATTCGTTTTAATATCCATTTCCTTTTTTGTAAAATTTTAACGAATTTTTGATTAACAAACTCAACAATTTCAAAGCGACCGATGGCAACATTGTATGACGGAAAAAAACTTATCTCTAGCGTGCGAGACTCTATATCGGAAATTCTAAAGATAGGCTCTTTTTCAATTATTTTGTGATGCTGCTGTTGAATTGAATTTTATGGTTAAGTAAAAGAGCATATTTAATAAATAAAAATAACACAAGAAACATTAAAAAATGCATCTTTGGGTGTAATATAAAATCGGAAAGCTTGCAGATTTTTTTAAATTTTTTATTGCATTTCAGCAAAGCCGCATAGTTTAAAAAATACTTTTATATAATTTATGATGTGCCCTTTTTTTCTGCTTCAGTGCGGGAAAAAAATAAAGGAAATAAAATTCACCGTCTATGAATATAGAAAAATTATTCTTTCTAATCTAACAAAGAGCACATGAAGTCAGTTCTGTTTTTTGCACATCAGATGCAGAAAGAAGTTTTTTGCACTGTAGTCAGCAGGAGCGTCACGAGATGTTGTTGTTGCAATAGAAATCAGATGCAGAATCTCTAGTCTTTTATTATTAGCATCCTAAAGTGTCTTGAATTATGTAGGGCTATCTTGAACTGTAACAAAGGGCACATGAAGTCAGTTCTGTTTTTTTTGCATTTGTTGCAATAGAAATCAGATGCAGAATCTCTAGTCTTTTATTATTAGCATCCCAAAGTGTCTTGAATTATGTAGGGCTATCTTGAACTGTAACAAAGGGCCAGAAAGTTTTCTTTTTTTTGCCTTTGTTTAGAAATCAGTAGGGCTATCCAAAGGTCAGTGCTTGCAATATGAAGTAACAAAGGGCACAGTTCTGTTTTTTTTTTGCATTTGTTGCAATAAAATCAGATAGAATCTAAAAGTGTCAGATGCATGAATGTCTATAGTCTTTTATTATTAGCATCCCAAAATGTCTTGAATTATGTAGGGCTATCTTGAACTGTGTATTTCACAATTGTTTTTTAAATTCCAGATAAAGCTAAGGAAGGTGTATCCGAAGGTCCTAACCTAGTTGAAAAAGGCAGTAGCCAAACTCTTTTTTCTGCTCAGGTAATTAATTTACTTTGGTCTTAGAACATCTGTTTAGCCATTTTTGAGTTCAAACGAATTTACCTGCTGTTTAAAGTTACTATCAATTAGAAACGGGAGAAAGTAATTGAAACTCATTGTATTAGTATATCAGTCTGGTCTTCGTTTTATTAAGTATTGATTGAAGAAGTAAATAACCACAGAGCTTCATAAAATAAAATGAGAGTTTTATTAAAGCAGAAATTTATTTTATGATTGTGAGCGGAGTGTGTTCGGTTTATAAGGTATTTTTCCCGCGTTCTTAGCATGACTTCGTGGTGTAGCGGTCAGCACGATCGGCGCGTATTCGAGAGGTCCGTAGTTCGAGTTCCGGCGAGGGCATTGTTCATTTTTCATGTGTCTTGCTTCGAAATAACTAATGTCTCTATTGGGTTTGTAAATGAAAAGAAATCAAAATTTTTATATGATCTACATAGCGTGCTAGCGTGCAATTAATCCTATTATTAAAATGGGGTTGCGCATCATCAAACTTTTAAAAATTCGGCTCTTGTTTTTTTATTACCCGAAGGTTGGTAGCTTTGAGCTCAGTTGCCTGTTTTCCTGGGGCGTTACTTTTAATATCATAGTGTTTAAAACGGGATAATTGATTATCCCATGTACCAGACTTTGCTTTACACAGGGTGGATGTGTCAAAATTCTGTACCTGCTTAGGGTTAAAACTATTAAGTGTATTTAAAGCATTTCATGCTCAAAGTTCGAAACTTTCAGAAATTTCAAATTGCCAACAACTGAAAAAATTTAGCAAATAATCTAAGGCTAGATAAGTAGTTTCTTAAAGCGGGTGGTCAAAATGGCTAGCAGCGCTAGGTATAAAGTACCTTGGCATGTTCCAACTAGCGACTACATGGCTTGTAACAAAGAATAGGTAATCTCGCCTAAATCTGACTACTCAGTTTCAGGTGCAGAATCCGCTCGCATAATACTTCTTGCTATGGAAGAAGCGCAGAAAGTTAAAGCCATAAAGCTCTGCTGCCGCAGAAGCTTCCTCCCCATCTGTGAACAATTCAAAGGCTAAAAAGATAAAACCATCTATAACCCTACATTTCAGCACAGTGCTCGAACTGCATGAAAATGTCTTTCCAAATCTCACAGAAAGCATTCCCAGCGTGCAGACCCCCACACCACGAAGGCACGCCAAGAAGGCGGGAGGAATACCTTACATACTTCCCCTTTTAAAGAGTGACTGGGGTTTTTAGAGGACACAGTCGCCAAATCCCGGGTGGGGAGAATTGTCATCCACCACCCTTATAGTTCGGGCGCCACTGTAGAGACATTAGGTGTTTTTTTAAACAGGAGAAGTGAAAAATGAGCAAATACCTTCGCCGTGAATCGAACCACGGACCTCTGGAATACGAGCCCAGCGTGCAGACCACCATACCAGGAAGGCAGGCCAAGAAGGTGGGAGGAATACTTTACAAGCTATTTCCAAAATTAAATTTATTACACCTAGAAAAACTTGCAAGTACTCTGGAAAAAAATCCCACCCATAAAAAAATTACGCAAAATAATAGATATCAAATCCTCTCTCAAGAAAATCATGAAGAATCAGAATCATTGGAAATAATCGGTACTAAAAAATCAGAAAAGATCCCATCTATAGTAGGTTCCATCTATTGTAGAAAGTAGATCCCATTTATTGTAGAAAAGATCCCATCTATCTATTCCAGCGGAAGAAAACGCAGACTAGCTCTGTATTGATAAAAATGCTAAAAGAAATTTGTAGAGGCAAGTACGAAGTAGAAATGGAGGCTCAATCTATTTTAGTTTTGCTGAGCGATTCTAAATTCCCCCAATATTGTTGTAATATATGTCTTACTAAGCTTTTCATTTTTAATCAGTGAAGTATTTTAAAGTTATTTAACTTTCTTACAAATTTCATATTTTACTATTAGAAACGTTTAAATATTTATTCTGTTGTCCAGTCATTCTTATCGTACTTCACTCTTCTTTTACTTTGACATGCATTTGATTTATAATACACAGTTAATTAATAATGGTGATCATTATGAGCATCTGCAGAATTTTCATAATTCATAAAAAAATCGAACTCCCTTATATTAAAATCTTGGGATTTTAACTTCCTCCTCATCCATTTCTTTTTCACATATTGTTGTATTGTATTTATAGCAATTTATATTTAAATTATAATTTTCATAAACTCTTGCATCATAATTCTAGTTAACAGAAGATGTTTCTAACACCTAGGCACATATTAATCTTCAGTATGCAGCTTATTTTCCAGTCCTGTTTCAGGTGTAATAATTTGTAAAGTTCACTAATAATATTTCTAACTGTTGTAATTTGTATTATAACAATTTCATGCGATTTATAATATATTTCATTTATAATTTTTATAAAATTTCTCAGCTGTATTTTAATTATCAGCAAATACTCCTAATACTATGCATTTAACTTATTTCACTGATGCTTTTATGTTATATTCCTAATATTTCATTATAGCATACAGATAATTTTCACTAATTTACCAAACATGCAAACCTTTTCTTTAATATATTGTTCAACACATAGCATCTCATCAGCCTAATTTCAAGAGGTCTTACGAACAAACGGTAATGTCGCTAAACATTGGAAGTTCGACCGGAATTTCAAATCCCAGTGATAACCCAGCTCTTTCATTCTCTGTGCGTATTTAATATCGAAAACTGCATTATAAAAACTTCAGTTTATGAAGTAAAATTATTTTTAAAATTTATTCTTCAAAAATACTAAAAAGTTTCATTCATTGGTAATTTTCATCTTTACTTAGCGTACCTCTTTGCAAATCCCTTTAATAATTAAAATAATAATTAAAGAAATAAACTTTTTCTATGATTGATACCTCGGTGCATAATGCGGTGCATTGATTACGTAAGTTTTTCTCAAAACATAGACTTTATACGGATATAATTAAATTATGGATTATTTCTCCATCTAAATTTGCTTAACATGTTTATTCCGGAATTTTCTTGAAGGTACTGAGTATTATCCTTTAGCATGTTTATTCTGTAACTATACTTTGTAAAGACATTACGTTATTTCGTTGCCGGAGAGATGAAAAATTAGCAACGCCTTCGCCGGGAATCGAACCGCGAACCTCTCAATTACGCGCTGAGCTTGCAGACCACTACACCACGAAGGCTCGTCAAAAAGGGTCGGAGAAATACCTCTAGTATCGATTAATCGTTTGCACGCCAGTTAACCATATTAAATTTTCCAGTCTAGTTCAGACACCATGACTATATTATATCAAAGAAGATATTAAATCAATAAAAGCATTAACAGACGTAATTTATAGGAAATATAATTCGTATGTTTTACAATTATATAATTTATAATGCACTTAACTATTTGCTCTATTATTGTAATTAATGAAATATGTTTCGAATGCTAATGTGTGTGTTTACTATTACCTTCTATTTTTTCTGCTAGCTCTTGCATTCATTACTACTCTCTTTACTTGATAATTATATTTCTCTATATTTTTCTTATCCTGTTGGCTGCCTTTGGCTTCGAAAAAATAAAACTAGATAGCAACTCTCACCTTTTTGAAAAGGAGGGGAATTCTTCGGAATGAGATCGTTAAATTGCCCGGCAGGCAAAAGGGAAAATCTTAATTCCCGCGCTTACTTCCTACCTCCATGCTCGTGCACAGAGAGGGGGGGGGGAGGAACTTGTTTCTCACAGTTGGGTTTACTTCTGAAAACAGGTGGCTAAAATTATCAAAATAATGTGTGCCTGTACAAAGGGTGAGGAAGAACAAAACTGACACGGAGACAAAAGCCACTAAAAAACTTCTCGTGCGGAATTTAGCTACGCGACATCTGACACCATGGTGAGGAGTTTGCCTATTGGATTATGTAGGGGGTAGAGGGTTATTGAAAAATTTGCCACCTCTGGGATAAGGAATCTCGTGATAAATGGAATAGCATTAGTCATTAAGTTTTTATCGAGCCTCTTCATTTTTGAGTAAAAGGCTTCACTTTATTAATATAAAGGGTAAAGACCATTTCCGTTTTTAACTAATTAAAACAACCAACTGTGTCGCTGTTTGGAATTATTTGCTCTATTGCTATTTATATAAAAGTTTTTTTTAAACATTTCGGAAAGATGTTTATTGTTTGCAGTAAGTAGACTTGCTTCAGAGAAACAAAACATATTGCTTCTCAAAAGACTCATGGAGAAGACAATCTTAAGATCAAATTCATGTACCTATGAGTCTTCAGAGTGTCCAAACTCACTGGTACGTGGATGTGGTTTAATTTTACTATGAAAACAGAAATAATCAGAAATAGTAGATCTTTTTTATTACAGACTTCTGAGTTGGAGAATCTTTTCCTACCTTTTTAAACTGCCCACGGTAGAGCGACAAACGTCGCTGAACATTAGCAACGTCGCTGAACCTATGTGCACGAGCGACATAAGAGACAATTTCCCTTCGAAAATCCTCCACGAAGATATACTTAGGCAGAGAGCTTTCGAGTGCTTATCCATAATTATATACACCAAAAACAGCCTTCTTCGATGTGTTTATTGTTTTTAGAAAGCGTATGTCATGTACTGGCAAAATACAAAATTTCGCCATTTGGTGGAAATTCCCTTGCAATCCTTATGCGCCAGAGGTTATAAAAATGTAAATCTTTCCTTTTTAAATAAATGCATAAACCTTCATGAGGCATTAATTGCGATGAAACAAAATTATGTTAAGTACTTATTTTTTTGAAACTCAGGATTTCTCATTTTTAATTCCTCATTCAGAAAGATAGGATTTTATGTGTTCTCTATTTTCGAACTTCCAGGGACTTATTTTTAAATTAGATGTTCTAATGTAATTAATTAGCTCAAAACTGACTTAGATATTAAACTGAAATATGTGTACACACATATATAAACTATATAATTCAGAAACGTGGCTCTGTTGTTGGAAAAAAGTTCTTTCAGCTTCCTCCTGGGGAAAAAAAAAA